TCTCAAAAAAAAAAAAAAAAAAAAAAAAAGACTGTTTATTCTGATCCTTTGTGCATTCAAAATTTTTTATTTTTTTAATTGTGCCTGCGGGATTTTTAAAGGAAAAAAATTTTGCTTACTCAAGGCTATTCAATTATTATTAATATATTACATAAATATATTTCAGGCTAAAATACAGAGAACTAGGGCCTATTTTTCTCAGATACTAGTGTCTAATGTTATTAAACTTGATTTTTGCCAGTTATTATCAAGGGTTCTATTAGTATAAACTCAGAGGAAATGACTTTTAGACTGTGTCAACTCTTATGGTTAGAACTTTTTTTGGCATGAAAAGTACGAGTAAAAGTAACCCACAACCTATCTCTGGTTTTGCTATATCTTTTGTGCCTTCTTAAATACTTAAATCTGAAAAAATATTCATCTGTTACATATAATGATTTAAATAGGCCAGTGAGTTTTTATCTAAATCTTCTATCTATGACTAGATTTCCTATTTTCTTTTTAATAGATTATGGATGTCATAGATAAGGAACTAATTCAGCCTTTTGAGATTCTATTTGAAGGAGTTGAATACATTGCCAGAGCTGGATGGACTCCAGAGGGAAAATAGTGCGTATGTTAAATTGTCACTTCTTTATGACTAATTTAAGATTAAGAACTTTAGAAATGATACAGTAGTTATTTCTACACAAAAGATTTTTCCTGAACTGTGTGGACTTGGAGATTTGTACTGCTGTAGACACAGGTGCATTGCATTTTATTTCTTAGTCAGATATGGTTCACAGTGTTAATTTGTGATTAAATTGTATGACTTTAAGGCTCACAGAAATGTATATACATATTTTTTTAATTGTGTAATTTAATCAGATTTTTTTTTCTTTGAGACAGAGTCTCACAATGTCACCCTTGGTAGAGTATCATGGCATTACAGCTCACAGCAACCTCAAACTCTTGGGCTTAAGCAATTCTCTTGCCTCAGCCTCCCAAGTAGCTGTGACTACAGGTGCCTGCCACAATGCCCAGCTATTTTTTATTGCAGTTGTCATTGTTGTTTAGCTGGGCCAGGCTGGGTTCAAATGTGCTACTTTTGGTGTATATGGCTGGTGCTATATAACCACTGTGCTATGGGTACTGAGCCAAGACTGGCATTTGTTTGTTTGTTTTTTGTTTTATAGAGACAGAGTCTCACTTTATCACCCTCAGTAGAGTGCCGTGGTGTCACACAGCTCACAGCAACCTCCAATTCCTGGGCTTAGGTGATTCTCTTGCCTCAGCCTCCGGAGCAGCTGGGACTACAGTGCCTGCCACAATACCTGGCTATTTTTTTGTTGTTGTTGTTGCAGTTTGGCTGGGGCTGGGTTTGAACCCACCACCCTTGGTATATGGGGCTGGTGCCCTACCCACTGAGCCACAGATGCCACCTGGCATTTGTTGATATTAAAAAGAGAAAATACATTCAAAGGCTACATAAAGTTTTGCAAATTTAAAGAAAACTACTTTTTTGGGTTTTTTTTTTTTTTGGTGTGTGTGACAGAATCTCACTTTGTTGCCCTACGTAGATTGTGGTGGCATCATAGCTCACAGCAACCTCAAACTCTCAGGCTCAGGTGATTCTCTCGGCTCAGCCTGCCTAGTAGCTGAGTATACAGGTGCCTGCCACAAAGCCTGGCTTTTTTTTTTTTTTTTTTTGAGACAGAGCCTCAAGCTGTCCTCCTGGGTAGAATGCCGTGGCATCACAGCTCACAGCAACCTCCAACTCCTGGGCTCAGGCGAGTCTCCTGCTTCCACCTCCCAAGTAGCTGGGACTACAGGCACCCACCACAATGCCTGGCTATTTTTTGGTTGCAGCTGTCATTGTTGTTTTGGCAGGCCGGGCTGGATTCGAACCCACCACCTTAGGTGTTTGTGGCTGGCGCCTTAGCCACTTGAGCCACAGGTGCCGAGCCAAGCCTGGCTATTTTTAGAGACCAGGTCTCCCTCTGGCTCAGGCTGTTCTCAAACTCCTGGGCTTAAGCAATTCACCTGCCTCAGCCTCCCAGAGTGCTAGATTAAAGGTGTGACCCACTGCACCTAGCCTACAGAAAACTACTTTTTTAAACCTCTGTTCAAGGTTAACCCAGAAAGACAGGTACGGTGACTCATACCTGTACTCCTAGCACTCTGGAGGCTGAGGCAGGAGGATTGCTTAAGCTCAGGGGTTTGAGTTTTTACTGAACTATGGTGATGCCACTGCACTCTAGGTAATTGAGTGAGATTCTGTCTCCAAAAATAATAATAATAATAATCAAATATTAAAATAAGTATGAAGTTGTTTTTTTTTTTGGCCAGGGCTGGGTTTGAACCCACCACCTCCGGCATATGGGACCGGCGCCCCACTACTTTGAGCCACAGGTGCTGCCCCAAGTGTGAGGTATTTTTAATTAGCTATTTATAAGTGGTAACATATACCAAAGGATTTCTTTCATTGTGATTATGGAAATAATTGAAAGGGACAGACTAGGAGATCATTCATTTTCTGAGAGCTTTCTTTATTTCTGCGGCTTCTCTTTTGTTTGTATAGTGCTTGGTCCATCCTACTAGATCGCTCTCAAACTCGCCTACAGATTGTGTTGATTTCGCCTGAATTATTTATCCCAGTAGAAGACGATGCCATGGAAAGGCAAAGACTTATTGAGTCAGTGCCTGACTCTGTGACACCACTGATTATCTATGAAGAAACAACAGACATCTGGATAAATGTATGCATTTTTTCCTATACTTTAAATATTTCCTCAGAATGCTAACACAAATTAACTTTGATAGCAAACTATCAAAACGCATTTTTTTTAAATTCAAAGGAACCATCAATGTTACTTCTTTAGTGTGAACTTTTCAAGTTGGTGTAATAGTTCCAGAATGGAATAGGTTTTTTTTGTTTGTTTGTTTTTGTTTTTGCATTTTTGACCCTGGCTGGGTTTGAACCTACCACCTCTGGCATATGGGGCCAGCGCCCTATTCCTTTGAGCCACAGGCGCCGCCCAAGAATGGAATGGTTTTTAGATAGAAAGTAGATGCCATTGAAATGACATCTCCTTGGCTGTAAATTTGTTCCTGGATGTATCAGGTATTAAATACACAGCCTAATCAGTGCTTCTGAGACAATGTCAAGAATCTAGACTAGAAGAGATTTTCTCTTTTTAAGTTGGCAAATTATACCAATACCAGTTTTTTTTTTTTTTTGAGATGGAGCCTCAAGCTATCCCCCTGGGTAGAGTGCTATGGTATCACAGCTCACAACAACCTCCAACTCCTGGGCTCAAGCGAGTCTCCTGCCTCAGCCTCCCAAGTAGCTAGGACTACAGGAGCCCACCACAACACCTGGCCATTTTTTGGTTGCAGCCATCGTTGTTTGGCAGGCCCGGGCTGAGGATTCGAACCCGCCACCTTAGGTGTATGTGGCTGGCGCCTTAGCTGCTTGAGCCACAGGCGCCAAGCCCCAATACCAGTTTCTAATTGAGTTTTGTATTTTCCAATTTATCAGAAAACTTAAGATACAAAACAAATAAAGCCAGCTCACTTCCTTACTAAATATAGGCTTCATGTGATTGACCTAAAACAGATGAACAGAAAATTTCTCTTTGGAAAATAAAAGTAAAAAATTTTTGTCTTCATCATTTTAATAATAAGATTTATATCATTAAACATACCTTGTGCCACGTTTAAAGAATTATAGAGGTGTTGAAAGAAAAGGCTTTTGGTCATATTTTTCTTTGTTTCTCCATTTGGAAACCTTTATTTTTCAATGGATGAAGTCTTTGACTAAAGTAAAATAAATATGAAAGGCCCAGGAAAAATATATTACTGTGACTATACCATCCTGGTATCACTGACATTTATACTTCAAAGTATGTTTAGCAAGTGAGTCGTCTTTCTCTAGCTTAATTGTATTATTTGTGTAGTATTTTCATTAATGCATATAGTAAATTAAGTTATTCATTTTACAGATCCATGACATCTTTCATGTTTTTCCCCAAAGTCATGAAGATGAAATTGAGTTTATTTTTGCCTCTGAATGCAAAACAGGTTTCCGTCACTTATACAAAATCACATCCATTTTAAAGGAGAGCAAATATAAACGATCCAGTGGTGCACTACCTGCTCCAAGTAAGAAATGCTTTATTTATTTTTATTTGTTTTCAGTGTGTGACACATCTTGTACCCCCAATGAGTCCCCAACAATTAAAAAATAAAATCATTTTTTTATTAAAAAGAAAAAAAGAAAACTTTGAAGGCAGATAGGAGAGACAGAAGAATCTAATGTCTCTCACATGCTTTATAAGCATCAGTTAGTACTTTATTAAGTTTAATAAATAAGTTAAAATATAAATACATGCATGTATAAAAATATAGAACAAAGTTCTTAGTAGATACACACATACTATACTAACAATGAATAATTTCTAGGTAACGGGATTGCATGTTTTTATTTTCTACTTTAGCCTTGACTGCAATTTTTAATTTACATTTTTTAACCTCTCAGTCCACTGGGAGAACCTCATCAAGATAGAATCCCATAAAGATAAATGGGGCATGTTGGCATTTACTATGGCAGAAACACTTGGTTTAATTTTTGGCAAATAAAGAAGAATTGTATAAAATTTTTCTTTTATGGGTATTAAAGTAGTTTGTTGCATTGTTAGAAGAAATGCCTTGTCAACTGTTAGACTTCTTCATTTGTTTAAGCAAAGGTCCAAGAATGCAGGTATATTGAAGTTCTTTTCTGGCTTTGCCATAAAATGTATTTTGATGTTTTCACATTATCTCCATGGATCATTCTATCATTCAGAAGTATTATGAAGATTCACAACTTGGGCTCGGTGCCTATAGCTCAACCGGCTAAGGCGCCAGCCACGTACACCTAAGGTGGTGGGTTCGAATCCCCAGCCCGGACCCACCAAACAACAATGATGGCTGCAACCAAAAAAAATAGCCGGGCGTTGTGGCAGGCGCCTGTGGTCCCAGCTACTTGGGAGGCGGAGGCAGGAGACTCGCTTGAGCCCAGGAGTTGGAGGTTGCTGTGAGCTGTAATGCCACAGCACTCTACCCAGGGGGACAGCTTGAGGCTCTGTCTCAAAAAAAAAAAAAGATTCACAACTTGGATTTGTTTTTACTGTAGACTTGTTTTATTGAAGCAAAATTTACATAGCATTAAATGAACCTTTTTGAAATAATTTGTTGATATTTAGTACATTCACAGTGTTTGCAACCACCACTTCTATCTAATTCCAAAACATTTTTATTACCACAAGCATAACTTTATTTTTTATTTACTTTTTTTTTTTTTTTTTTGAGACTCACTTTGTTGCCCTTGGTATAGTGCCATGGTGTCGCAGCTGACAACAACTTCCAACTCCTTGGGCTTAAGCAGTCCTTCTGCCTCAGCCTCCCGAGCAGCTGGTACCATAGACACCTGCCACAGTGCTTGGCTATTTTTTTGTTGTTGTTGCAGTTGTCATTGTTGTCTAGCTGGCCCTCCTGGGCCACGGCCGAACCCACCAGTATGGAGGAATATGGCTAGCATCCTACCCAATGAGCTACGAGTGCCACTGTATAACTTTAATTTTTTAATGCAGCTTCTTGGAGACAAGAGTTTAGAGTTAGTAGTCTTCGTTGTTTCATTTGTTTATAGTCTGATATGAAGTACTGAATCGTAACTATATTTACCTTCAGGTGATTTCAAGTGTCCTGTCAAAGAGGAAATAGCACTTACCAGTGGTGAATGGGAAGTTCTTGGCCGGCATGGATCTAATGTATGTTCTTTTATTCTTCTGATATGTTGGTCAATATCTGCTGTGTGAATGTGATACTAAGAATCAGTAATGCCTCTTAATATGACCCCAGTATTCTGAAGTATTAAGGGCCTAAAAGAATTCAGGTTGTTGGAAAGGAAAAACCTTAATTTAAGTTATAAATTGTATCCATTTTATAGCCCTGGTTTTAGATGTGTTTTGGTTACTAAGGGTCACCATTTTCAAATATTCATTGCTACTTAATAAGAAAGGGGCTGACCTGTAATTTTTATAGAGTCTAGCAAAAGTTAGGATATAGTTTGAAAAATATTTTAAAATCTATTATAGATTACTTGTGTCTTCATTATAAATTGCATTTGCTACTCCTAAGGTGGTGATTGTCTTTCAAAATTCACCTGTTTATCTTATCTCACAAATTTACACTTTAATCCACCACTGCAAAGAGTGATTGGCATTTATACAGAGCTTAAAATGCTGGGCACAATGGCTCACACCTAATAATCTTAGCACTCTGGGAGGCTGAGGCGGGTGGATTGCCTGAGCTCATAGGTTTGAGACCAGCCTGAGCCAGAGTGAGATCTCATCTCTACAAATAGCCGGGTGTTGTGGCAGGCGCCTATAGTCCAATCTTCTTGAGAGGTTGAGGCAAGAGAATTGCTTGAGCCTGAGAGTTTGAGGTTGCTGTGAGCTATGACACCACTGCACTCTACCAAGAGCAACAAAGTGAGACTCTGTCTCCAAAAAAAAAATAGAGCTTAGACTGATAGAGAAGAGTAAGGAAATCCATCCTTTGCTTAGCTCTCAGTAGCAATTCAGTGAATTCTTTTTTTTCTTTTATCTTTTTTTTTTGGTACCTTGCATTTGTTTTAGCTTTCATTTAGGTGATCAGATTCATGAGATCCTAAGAACTCCCATCTTTTCTGTGTGTTACACATGCAGTTAAATTGTATGCTACCAGGATTTAGTGCAGGCCAAAATACGATTTCCTCAAATAGATGTGGAGATTTGTTGAAGGATTATATATACTGGCTACTGTAGAAATCACTCGTAGTCCCTAAGGTGATTAAGAGGGAAGAATAATACCATAGGTTACCTTTGAAGTCTAATTTCCACCGAGATCCTCACACGGCCTTCTGGTTCACCATGGATGTTACTGTCACCTGAGAAGAAAAATCTAATTGTAGAAATATTAGGTTCTGTTAACAGAAGATTACACTAATGTAAATTTCATGCCATGTGATGGTTGGGCTATAGAGTCATTAGATAATACTGAGGGAACCCTAAGCATTTTATTTACATAGGTGTGATCTTTATTTGGGCAACCTAAATATCATTGTACTACTTGCCACTAACATATGTCAGTTTTCTTTATGTCTGTTTACTTATGTGACGTGTTTGTCACTTTTTCCCTCTTTCTCTTTTCCCTTTATTCTTGTTTTTGTCAGTTGGGATTTTTTTTTTTTGTGGGGAGGGGGGATTGTCTTTTTTAACTTACTTTTTTCCTTCTCTGCTTGTATAAGTGACTTTGTTCCCACCCAGAGATTTCTCTATTTTTATTTATTTTTGTTGTTGATGCAATTTTTGATCAGGGTGGGTTTGAACCCCCCCCACCTCTGGTATATGGGACCGGCATGGATACTCCTTTGAGCCACAGGGGCCGCCCTTTTTTTGTTTGTTTTTTGTTTTTAGCTTTTTACCTAAAATGACACAGCTTTAGTTCTACCCAAAGATCTACCCTAAGATATCTAATGGCAGTAATTAGGTAAAGCTTTGAGATTTTTAAGTTCATGTGCTTCGTTTAGTTTAGGGTGCTTCTCAAAGTCGTGGACCAGCAGCAAATCATCATTATCACTTGAGAACTTTTTAGAAATGCACACTCTTGGCTCATCACAGATCTTCTGAATCTGAAGCTGTGGTGGTGGGGCTCAGCAATCTGTGTAACAAGCACTCTAAGTGGTTCTGATGCATCTGTTGACTTTAGTTACATGAAGCAAAGAGAAGAACCATGAGGGTGGGGGATTAGCTGGTTATTTTGTTAATTTTGAAAGGCCATATTCCCAGTTTGTAGGTCAAGAGCAGAACCAGTCCTAACCTTTGTCAGAGATTAACACACACCTGTGAAGCTTCGTGAAGGTTATTTTCCAGTCATTTGTGACATTGAAAAATACAGTATTTGTGTGTCTGTTTTCCTTATAGGGTAATTTAACTCATGCTAGTTTTGAGCCCAGGGCCTCATGAAGCATATATAACTCACACATCGCTTGACTTAATAAAACATCGTGACTCTGAGGAAAAATTTTTTTTCTAGTATGGCATCAGTGTATTAAAGGATCACTAAAAGAAAGCCATTTATTCAGAATCATATTGTAAATCAAGATGAATATTAAGTGAATTAAGCTGTGAGTTTACTTGCAATATTTTTGAGTTCTGAAAGACTAAAATCTTATCCAATTTAACTATGCCTGTATTGAAACTGATTGAGTTCAATTATTCCCCAACCTAATAGACAAAACACTTTGTAATTTATACAAAAGACCAAAAAAGTACTGCCTAAGATGATAACTACACTGCTTAAATTAGAGTCTTTCAAGTATGTATAAATGGTTGACCTAAGCTGCAATACAGTTTTTTTCTTGCCTATAAAGAATTATTTTGGAGAAATAATTCTTATATTTTAATAACATACATTCTGACTTTTCTATAGAAAAGAAACTATACATGAGGGTACAACTCAGGTGTCCTTTTTCTTTTGGACGTAATCTATTCTAAGTTATAAGTCATAAGCAGAAAAACTAGGTTTATTAATATGGGTTAAAAAATTAAAAAATAAAGGCATAACTCAAATGATTCAGAATCGGGGCGTGTTTGTTAAATTATTGGCCTTACCATGGTCATATTAACTATGATTTTTTTTTGTTATTTTGGCAGATCCAGGTTGATGAAGTCAGAAGGCTGGTATATTTTGAAGGCACCAAAGACTCCCCTTTAGAACATCACTTATATGTGGTCAGTTATGTAAATCCTGGAGAGGTAACAAGGCTGACTGACCGTGGCTATTCCCATTCTTGCTGCATCAGCCAGGTATGAAGTCACTGTTAGAAAAAGATTTCCTGTCAAACTATGCTCATGTAACATGCATTATGAGTGATGTAAAATTTGGTAAAATTGACTACAGAAACCTAACTCTCTTAGGGAAAATTTTAAAAAGCTCAACCTTAACTTTTGACAATTAAGTCCATAAACTCATCCTAGAAAAAATGTTTTGAAGAGTGGACTAGGTGCTGGTATTGGCATTGGCATAGCTTCCCAAGGGGAGTACTTCTTCAAAAGTAACCACAGTGATATTCAGCAACGAGATATATATCACTTTTTCTGGGATGAATTTGTGAACTTAATTGTCTGACCTCATATGTACATAGATACTTGAACTCTTACTATACTTTGGTTATATCAAATAACCTTTTTTACTTTTCCCTGAGGCAAATATAATTTTTTTTCTTTTCCTTTCCTTAGCATTGTGACTTCTTTATAAGTAAGTATAGTAACCAAAAGAATCCACACTGTGTGTCCCTTTATAAGCTATCAAGTCCTGAAGATGACCCAACTTGCAGAACAAAGGAATTTTGGGCCACCATTTTGGATTCAGCAGGTACTCTTTTTTTTTTTTTTTCCTCCCTGATCCTGATCTTAAGTGGGATTAGTATGTTAGTGCACTAAAGCTGTGTCATATGTCTATATTACCTGGACAGAGTCTTCCAATCTCACTGATGCCTGACCCTGAGCTACCTCTTACTCCAAGCAGGAACAGGTCTGAAAGACCCTTGGATGATTTATCAGATAAGCAAATGAACTTGAAGATAATGTATTATAATAGTAAGACCCTTTGAGTAAGAAAGCTGTAGCTTTAAAGAATAATGAGCTAACAGCTTTCTTAAACTATTGAAGCATTTACAGTGGCTATCTTTCTGAGGTGGAGTGGTTGTATAGCTTTGGTGAACCAAAGACTGATTAATTTCTTTTTTCTAGGTTCTAGTTAGGCTTATGTTTATTGAACACCTGTGAGCAAGTTAAATTGACTAAGTTAAATACGTGCTTCCTGTTTCTTTTTTCTTCCTCTTGCCTTTCAGAAAGTATTACCCATACCTGGCTTGGCACCTGTAGCTTAGTGGCTAGGGCGTCAGCCACATATACTGGAGCTGGCAGGTTTGAATCCAGCCTGGGCCTGCCAAACGACGACAGACAACTACAACCAAAAAAAAAAAAAAATAGCTGGGCATTGTAGCGGGCGCCTGTGCTCCCAGCTACTTGGGAGGCTGAGGCAAGGCAAGAGAATCACTTAAGCCCAAGAGTTTGAGGTTATTGTGAGCTGTGACGCCAAGGCACTCTACCCAAGGCAACATAGTGAGACTCTATCTCAAAAAAAAAAGTATTACCCATTTCTAATCAGGTGTGTGGTTTGACCACCAGTGAGGTACACTGAACTAAACATGAAATGTGTTTGTGTAGTTCTCCACATAGATATACCGTCTAGGCTCCAAGGATTATTCAGAATAATCATCTGAGTGTCTGCTTCTGAAATAGATAATTTGATGTTTGTTAGGCTTTTATGAAGATGGATATTCTTGCTTAATTTCTAGCTTATAATCTGAAAGATGGCTAATCAGTTATTTGTGTGTGGAGATCTGAATTTTAATGTCGTCCTTTTCCTTGCTCATGGATTGTAGAGCTCCCTTATGAACTTCTTTTACAGACTGTATTTTACTTATTCACAGGTCCTCTTCCTGACTATACCCCTCCAGAAATTTTCTCTTTTGAAAGCACTACTGGATTTACATTGTATGGGATGTTGTACAAGCCTCATGATCTACAGCCTGGAAAGAAATACCCCACTGTACTATTTATATATGGAGGTCCTCAGGTGGGCATATTATGTACACATGTACATACGTATTTTTCAGGTTCTTTTTTTTTTAAGTGTCTGGTCAGTTGTTTAGATTAAGATTTTGAACATTATTGGGAATCTGTTACCAACTCTGCCTTACGTTCTGATTATCAAGTTTAGAAGTTGAGGAAGCTGGGTTTTTTAGATGGATATTTTATAAATCTATAAGTCAATTTCCTAATTTACAATGAGGAATGTAACTCTGTGAGGAGTGGAATATTCAGGGCAGTAGGTAAATATGTTGCTTTTTGTGTAAAGAAACTTGTTTGGGAAATGAAATTAAATAAATATCTTATTTTGTATTAATAAAAACTTTTTGTTGTTGTTGTTGTTGCTGTAGAGACAGAGTCTTACTTTATCACCCTTGGTAGAGTGCTGTGGCATCACACAGCTCATAGCAACCTCAACTCCTGGGCTTAAGCGATTCTCTTGCCTCAGCCTCCAGAGTAGCTGGGACTACAAGTGCCTGCCACAACACCCAGCTATTTTTTGGTTGCAGTTTGGCCAGGGCCAGGTTTGAACCTGCCACCCTTGGTATATGGAGCTGGCGCCCTACTCACTAAGCCACAGGCACCACCCATGAATAAAAAGTTTTAACAGATATTTTCAGACGGCCTTAGTAGCCTAGTAAATTCCTCTTCTTCATTCTAAAGCAATATCTCTCAAACTAGAATACTTTATTTATTTATTTATTTGAGACAGAGTCACACTATGTTGCCTTCGATAGAGTGCTATGGTGTCACAGCAACCTTAAATTCTTGGGCTTAAGCCATTCTCTGACCTGAGCTTCCCAAGTAGCTGGGACTACAGGCACCTGCCACAATGCCTGGCTATTTTTCGTTTTTGTTGTTGTAGTTGTCATTGTTGTTTCAGCAGGCCTAGACCCAGTTCGAACCCTCCAGCACCAGCACCTAGGTGTTGGTGCCCTAACCACTGAGCAACAGGTGCTGAGCCTAGAATACTTTCATTATTGATAGTTAAGTAAGGCAGCTACTGTGCTACTATTCAGCACCATAAGAAGTTTGCACTGGGAGGTTGCAGTGGGTAGATCACTTGAGCTCATAAGTGATCCATCCTGAGCAAGTGAGAGACGCCCCATCTCTAAAAAATATCTAGGCATTGTGGCAGGCATCTGTAGTCCCAGCTACTCAAGGAGGCTGAAGCAGGAGGATCACTTGAGCCGAAGAGTTTGAGGTTACTGTGATTGTGACATCACAACACTCTGCAGCTGGGCAAGAAAATGAAACTCTGTCTCAAAAAAAGAAACAGTTTACATCTTGATTTTTCTTTTTCTGGGTTGAATGATTAGCAGATGACTATTAAGTAAATGCTATCGACTGTCTTAGTAAAGTGGGTGGATTGGTTAATTGCTAGTTTTTTTAATTTTTTTTTTTTTTTTTTGCTGGGGCCAGGTTTGAACCCACCACCTCTGGTATATGGGGCCAGCGCCCTACTCCTTTGAGCCACAGGCACTGCCCTTAAAATTATTCTTGATTAGGTATCTTACCTTGAAATTTTGAAGAAATTAGAATATAATTACAGTGTTTTCATAATACAGTTTTTTTTGTTGTTTGTTTTTTTTTTGAGACAGAGCCTCAAGCTGTCCCCCTGGGTAGAGTGCTGTGGCATCACAGCTCGCAGCAACCTCCAACTCCTGGGCTCAAATGAGTCTCCTGCCTCCGACTCTCAAGTAGCTGGGACCACAGGCACCTGCCACAACGCCTGGCTATATATATATAATTTTTTTTTTTGGTTGCAGCCACATTGTTGTTTGGCGGGCCCAGGCTGGATTCAAACCCGCCATCTTAGGTGTATGTGGCTGGCGCCTTAGCCACTTGAGCCACAGGTGCCAAACCCGTAATACAGTTCTTAATAGTGTTTTCATAATGCAACTCTTAAACTCAGTAATATCCTTTATAATTATACCTAGTTACTTAGTGTCTGGAAATATATCTAGATACCTAGTTGTACAAAATAAAAAAAGTAAAATGACTTCTGCATAAGCCATAAAATCTGAGGAACGTTGGTCGTGTATTAAATCACTTTGCCATAATTTTGTTTTTACAAAGTGATTCAGATTTTCATTATAGCTATCTACACAAATCAGAAAAGAGATAAATGAGACTTTTTTTTTTGCTTGGGGCTGGGTTTGAACCTGTCACCTCTGGCATATGGGGCTGGTGCCCTACTCCTTTGAGCCACAGGCACTGCCCTAAATTAGAGTTTTCTTGAGGCCAGATTTTTGTAAACTTAAGAAAGCTTATCACAGAACAATTAAAAGGGGAAATTACAGGATGCTCTCCAAAACTCACATGTTTGTTATATTATTTTGATAGTAAGGCTAAATGAGAATGGTGTTCTCCTTACCAGTGAAGAAATGATACAGTATATGAGATAGGTGAAAGACATCATAAAAATAGATTTTAAGGCTGGGTACAGTTGCTTACACCTGTAATCCTAGCACTCTGAGAGGCTGAGGCGGAAAGATACTTGTGCCGAGGAGTTCAAGACCTGCCTGAGCAGGAGGAAATAATAACAACAAAGTAGGGAACAAAAAAAATAGAACAGTCAGCCAGGCATTGTGGTGGGCACCTACAGTCCCAGCTACTTCAGAGGCTGAGGCAGAAGGATCAGTTAAACCCAGGAGTTTGAAGTTGCTTATGAGCTAGGCTGGGACCATGGCATTTTACTGTGGATAACTGAGTGAGACTCTGTTTCAAAAAAAAAAAAAAAAAGGCCGGAAAAAAACAATGCGGTGGCTCACACCTATAATACTAGCACTCTGGGAGGCTGAGACTGGTGGATAAATTGAGCTCATGATTTTGAGACCAGCTGGAGCAAAAGCAAGTCCCCATCTCTACTAAAAATAGGAAAAAAAAAAAAAAAAAAAACCTGAGGCAAGAAGATCACTTGACCCTAAGAGTTGGAGGTTGCTGTGAACTATGACTCTACAACACTCTATCCAGGGTGACAGCTTGAGCCTGTCTCAAAAGAAAGAAAAACTAGATTTTAAGATATAAAGGACTCCTTTAAAAGCTAAGCCGCATTTTAAGATGCTCAATTTGTGTATCACTAGTCATTAGGAAATGCAAACTAGGCTCAGCCCCTGTGGCTCAAGTAGCTAAGGCGCCAGCCACATACACCTAAGGTGGCGGGTTCAAATCCCGGTGGCAGCCTGGGCCTGCCAAAACAACCATGACACCTGCAACCCAAAAATAGCCAGGCGTTGTGGCGGGCGCCTGTAGTCCCAGCTACTTGAGAGGCTGAGACAATAGACTCACTTGAGCCCAGGACTTGGAGGTTGCTATGAGCTGTGATGCCATGACACTCTACCCAGGGGGGCAGCTTGAGGCTCTGTCTCAAAAAAAAAGGAAATGCAAACTAAAACTACAGTGAGATACCAGTTCACACCCATTAGAATAGTTGTTATCAAAAAGAATAAAATCATAAAGTGTTGTACAGGATGTGGAGAAACTGGAACCCTGGTCCATTGCTGGTGGGAATATAAAGTGGTGCAGCTGCTATGAGAAACAGTATAGCAGTTCTTCAAAACTTAAACACAGAATTGCCATATGATCTAGAAATTCCAATACTAGGTATATATCCAAAGGAAATGAAAGGCTCGGCGCCCATAGCACGGTTATGGGGCGGCCACATGCAACGAGGCTGGCAGGTTCCAACCCAGTCTGGGCTAGCTAAGCAGCAATGACAGCAGCCACAAAAAAAGTAGCCGGGCATTGTGGCGGTGCCTGTAGTCCCAGCTTGGGAGACTGAGGCAGGAGAATTGCTTAAGCCCAAGAATTTGAGATTGCCGTGAGCTGTGACCCCACAGCACTCTACTTAGGGCAACATAGTAAGACTCTGTCTCAGAAAAAAACCAAAACAAAACAAATGAAAGAAGGGATGGGAGTAGGTATTCTTTTTTTTTTTTTTTTTTTGGGACAGTCTTAAATTAACCATGTCATCCTGGGTAGAGTGCTGTGGCATCACAGCTCACAGCAACCTCCAACTCTTGGGCTTAAGCAATTCTTTTGCCTCAGCCTCCCAAGTAGCTGGGACTGCAGGTGCCTGCTCCAACACCCAGCTATTTTTTGGTTGTAGTTGTCATTGTTTTGGCAGGCCCGGCCTGGGTTCGAACCTGCCATCCATCTCCAGTGTATGTGGCTGGTGCCCTGGCCGCTGAGCTACAGGCACTGGGCCAGGAATAGGTTTTTTTTTCTTTTTTTTTTTTTGAGACAGAGCCTCAAGCTATCCCCCTGGGTGGAGTACTGTGGCATCACAGCTCACAGCAACCTCCAACTCCTGGGCTCAAGCGATTCTCTTGTCTCAGCCTCCCAAGTAGCTGGGACCACAGGTGCCCACCACAACGCCCGGCTATTTTTTGGTTGCAGCCCTCGTTGTTTTGGCAGGCCCAGGCTGGATTCGAACCCGCCACCTTAGGAGTATGTGGCTGGCACCTTAGCCACTTGAGCCATAGGTGCTGAGCCAGGAGTAGGTATTTTTATACCTATATCTGTAGCAGTATTATTCACAATAGCCACAAGGTAGAAGCAATCCAGGTGCCTATCAGTAAGTAAATGGATGAAGAAAACATGGAACACATATATAATGGAATGTTACTCAGCCTTAAAAAGGAGGACTTTTTCTCACGAGATGCAATATGGATGGAGCTTGAGGATGTTATGTTAAGTGAAATAAGCCAGACACAAAAGGACAGATATTATAGTATTCCTCTTTATGACGTACCTGTAATAGGCAAATTCATAGAGACAGAAAGTGGAATAGAGGTTGTAAAGAACTGGAAGGAGGGAGGATGGGGTGTTATTCAGTGGGTACAGAAGTTCTATTTGGGATAATGAAAAAGTTCTGGAAATGGATAATGGTGATGGTTACACAACAGTGTGAATATATTTAATGCCACTGAATTTTATACTTAAGGTGATTGAAATGGTAAATTTTATCTTATGTACATTATATCATTATTTTATTTATTTTTTGAGACAGTGTCTCATTCTGTCGCCCTAGGTAGAGTGCTGTGGCATCATAGCTTCTGGCAACCTCAAACTCTTGGGCTCAAGAGATCCTCTTGCCTCTGTCTCCAAGTAGCTGGGGCCACAACACCCAGCTAATTTTTCTTTTTGTCGTAGAGACAGGGTCTTCCTGTTGCTCAAGCTGATGTTAAACTCCTGAACTCAGGTGATCCACCCACCTCAGCCTCCCAGTATGCAAGGATTACAGGCATGAGCCACCTCACCTGGCCATACCATAATTTCAAAAGTGTTAGCCAGTTCAATTAAAACAAAATTAATTGTTTGGAGTACCTTGTGACTACAGCTATACTATTTGTACTTATAGAAACAGTCATATTTGAAATACTATAAGTGAATTCTACCATATGGGTTTTGAAAAGCTGTAGGTCACTTAAGATGATTTATTGATTTCATTCTCGAAGTATTCTTTGGAAGCAAATTTGGTGAGGCCTTAGAAAAATCAGGTGTCCATTTAACAGGGAGATTCACGTGATGCAGTGCCTTTGGCACTTGGGCCCATCACAAGATCTTTTATCCTTCTTCTTAATGACTTCATTTGCATAATTATAAAGAAAGAAACTCCTTAAAATAAGACCAGATCTCTCTCTTTTTTTTTTTAAGATGAGGTTTTGCTCTGCCACCAATGCTAGAGTGCAGCAGCCTGATCGTAGCTCACTCTAACCTCAAACTCCTGGGCTCAGACAAGGAGACTCAGCCTCCCAAGGAGCTGTGTTTATAAGCATGAGCCACTTCATCTTACCTAAGCTTTCTATTTTTCACAGCGTCTGTCATCTTGTGTTTTTGCATGCCATTGTGTGATAAATTTCACTGAAATTGTATTTCTTCCCTAGGTGCAGTTGGTGAATAACCGATTTAAAGGAGTCAAGTATTTCCGCTTGAATACATTAGCCTCTCTGGGTTATGTGGTTGTGGTGATAGACAACAGAGGATCCTGTCATCGAGGGCTTAAATTTGAAGGCGCCTTTAAATACAAAATGGTGTGTGAGCATAAAAACACTTTTCTTTTAAAGATATTTACATATTCTGGTACATTGTGTGATGTGAATCCACAGAGAGAAGATTAGGGGAAGGGGCCATGAGTGTGTGTGTATTTTTGTGTGTGTGTGTTTTCCAGTTTGGGGGCGGGGGTGAAGAAGTATCTTGATAGACACTAAGCCAGCTCATGTCTACCTGTTTGTAACTTTGGGGAGTTGAGATAGAGCCATTTTTATATAGAAATACCCTCTATTTTGTATGTCCACCTTTCCATAAGGCAGACCATTTAGCTTTTAGCATCCTTTACACTGTAGAGGAATAACTGAGATTTGTTCTGTCCTTTGTAAAGAGGGAATCCAACTGGTTAGTGCCTTCCTTGTGACAAGCCTCTTTCTCTCTACAGGAAGCTTTAAATGCTACCTTTTAGAGATGCCCCATGTCCTTTCTGCTGCTTTGGGAAATGATGAGAATCCGATGTTCCTTTTGCACAGTAAGGCAGTTACTGTGTAGGACATGCTGAGTACGACATGGGGATTTTCTCCCACAGCCAGTTCTTTGATCTTAAGTTGTATTCTCATGTAAGTTTATTTTAATTTTTGTTTTAGGCTTAGTGAAGTGAGATTGTTTGCATTGGCAGGCCAAGTAATATGGACAGGGTGGTGGTGGTAGGAATTTAGGTCTTTAAAAAAATAGTATGGTCAGTTCCTAGAGGTAGTATGATTGGGGAATAGGAAGATAGGGCCTCCAGAGTGATTCCCTCTGCTTTACTACATTGAGTATTAAAAAAGAGAAGTAAAATTAATAAACTACTTAAGGGGGCTAATTTTTTGTCTTTGAGTATAGGAAGGCTTGTTACAAGGAAGATGCTGGCCTCTTAGCAGATGACAGAACAAATGGAAATGGGAAATACCCAAATTTCAAGGGACAGTTTGGATAGCGACAAGAAAGAACTTTATGACTAAGGGGTAACTAAACTCTAGGACAGGCTAGCAACAGAAACTGTAGGCCCCTATCTGTAAATGATTTTATAAAAACTTTTTGGGGCAGTAGAATTTCAGTTGATAAGGAATTCTAATCTAAGAAAACTTAGGAATTTTTAGTAAAACATTTATCAACTTTAAAAGCATTATGGCAGTGAGACTTTTATTCATCAGAATCAGTGAAATGTTCTTTTTTTGACAGGGTCAAATAGAAATTGATGATCAAGTGGAAGGACTCCAGTATCTAGCTTCTCGATATGATTTCATTGACTTAGATCGTGTGGGCATCCACGGCTGGTCCTATGGAGGATACCTCTCCCTGATGGCATTAATGCAGAGATCAGATATCTTCAGGGTATGTGACTTCCTGTCATACCTTCTTTTTTGCAATAGAAGGGTAGAATGTTCTATAAATTGAGGGTATGAGAAAAATGTTTATTTTCTGAAAGTTTACAGAGTTGGCAATATTATAGAATGTTAGGGTCTATGTATTTATTTATTTATTTATTTATTTTTGAGACAGAGCCTCAAGCTGTCCCCCTGGGTAGAGTGCCGTGGCATTACAGCTCACAGCAACCTCCAACTCCTGGGCTCAAGCGAGTCTCCTGCCTCAGCCTCCCAAGTAGCTGGGACCACAGGCGCCCGCCACAACGCCTGGCTATTTTTTGGTTGCAGCCATCATTGTTGTTTGGCGGGTCCGGGCTGGGGATTCAAACCCGCCACCTTAGGTGTACGTGGCTGGTGGCTGGCGCCTTAGCCGGTTGAGCTATAGGCCCCGAGCCAGGGTCTATGTATTTAATAGCCATGTGAAATGTATGTAGATTTTTTTAAGTAGTTTTGTTTGTTTGTTTTTGTTCTTTGAGACAGTCTCATTCTGTCACGCAGGGTAGAATACTCTTGCCTCAGCCTCCTGAGTAGCTGGGACTAAGTGCCTACCGTCACCACACCCAGCTAGTTTTTCTATTTTTATTAGAGACGAGGTCTCACTCTTACTCAGGCTGGTCTCAAACTCCTATGCTCAGGCATTCCGTCTGCCTAAGCCTCCCACAGCACTAGGATTACAGGCATGAGCCACTACACCTGGTATATATATATATATATGTGTGTGTATGTGTGTGTATACACATTTTTTTAAAACACATATCAACTTGCTGACCAGTTATTGGCTATTTATAGACATATGCAAAAGATTATGGGAAAGTTATGATGAGTAAAACTCACACACATATATACTGGATTGTAATTACTTGTTTATTTTTTATTTGATAAAGAATCTCACTCTGGTGCCCTGACTAGAGTGCCATGGTGTCATAGCTTGCAGCAACCTCAAGTTCTTGAGCTTAAATGATACTCTTGCCTCAGTTTTTCTATTTTTAGTAGAGATGGGGTCTCTGGGAGGTGCCTGTGCGTAGGGTGCCAGCCCCATATACCAAGGGTAGGGGTTCGAACATGGCCCTGGCCAAACTGTAACAAAAATTAGCTGGGCATTATGGTAGGTGCCTGTAGTCCCAGCTACTTGGAAGACTGAGGCAAGAGAATTCGCCTAAACCCAAGAGCTGGAGGTTGCTGTGAGCTGTGATGCTACGGCACTCTACTGAGGGTGATAAAGTCAGACTATCTCAAAAAAAAAAAAGAAATAGAGTTGGGGTTTCTCTTTTGCTCAGTCTGATCTCGAACTCCTGAGCTGAAGCAGTCCACCTACCTCAGCCTCCTAGAGTGTAGGATTACAGGCATGAGCCACCATGCCTGGCCTTGTAATTGTTTAGTTTTTGGACTACATGCTCTGAGAGCAGGGACCTGTTTGCCTTACATACCACTGTATCCTCAGTAGTCAAGCACAATGAATGACTTATTAAATATATAAATATATATGCTTGTGATTCTGTAAATAAACTCTTAGAAACAGGCTTGGCTCCTGTAGCTCAGTGGCTAGGGCGCCAGCCACATACACCAGACCTGGCAGGTTCAAACCCAGCCTGCACCTGCCAAACAACAATGACAGCTACAACCAAAAAATAGCTGGGTGTTGTGGCAGATGCCTGTAGTCCCAGCTACTTGTGGGGCTGAAGCAGTAGACTCGCTTAAGCCCGAGAGTTTGAGGTTGCTGTGAGCTGTGAGGGCGACATAATGAGACTCTGTCTCAGAAAACAAACAAACAAACAAAAAATAACTCTTAGAAACATATACTGGAAGAAAATAACATGAAGATGATAATAATTTTTAAGAGAGTAGGAATTACAAGTATTTTTTGATGTTTCAGTAGCATTTTATAGTTGCAGTTATTTTAATTTTTTAGAATATAAACAACAGGGTTTTCATTCTTGCACAAATATTCAGGTAATCTTTGAAATAACCACAAATTAATTCTGAGTTTGGCCACCCTTATGGTTGCCAAGAAAGTAATTAGAATATTTAAATATGAACCTGTGTTTAGAAACCTTAAAATGAGGCAAGTTTGGAGTTTCTTTTTTGTTTTTTGGAGTTTAAACAAGGTCTTGCTGTCTTTCCCAGGATGGACTGTGGTGAGATATCATCATAGCTTACTGCAACCTCAAACTTAGACTCGAGCAATCCTTCTGTCTCAGCCTCCCAAGTAGCTGGTACTATAGGTGTACACCACTATAACCTGACTAATTTTTAAATTTCATGTAGAGATGGGGTCTCACTATGTAGCTCAGGCTGGTCTTGAACTTTTGCCCTCAAGAGAGCCTTCTGTCTCGGCCTCCTAAATTGTTAGGATTACAGGCATGAGCCACTGTGCCCAGCTAAGTTTTTAGTACTTAAATATGTATGTGTGCGTCTGTGTGTATATTTTTTTCTTTTTTTGAGAGAGAGTTTCACTTTGTTGCCCTCAGTAGAGTGCTGTGGCATCATAGTTCACAGCAACCTCAAACTCTTAAACTGAGCGATACGCTGATGTCAAACTCCTGAGCTTAGGTAATCCATCTATCTCGGCCTCCCAGGGTACTAAGATTACAGGTGTGAGCCACTGCGCTCAGCCTTTCAAATACATTTAATTCATTGTTTGGGACTTTTGGTTGGTTTTTTTGGATTATTTTCAGATAGAGTCTCATTCTGTTCCCCAGGCTAGAGTGCATTGGCAACATCATAGCTCACTGCAACTTCAAAATCCGGGGCTCAAGCAAATCTCCTGCCTCGGCCTCCTAAGTAGTTGGGACTATAGGCATGTGCCACCACATCCAGCTAACTTTTCTGTGTTTAGTAGAGCTAGGATCTTACTGGTGCTCAGGCTGGTCTTGAACTCCTGGCCTCAAGCAGTCTTCCCACTTCAGCCTCCCAGAGGGCTAGGATTACACTCAGAGCCACTAGGCCTGCACTCACTCGTTGTTTTAAATTCTGTACTGCCAACAGAGGCTTAAAAAGAAAAATGGGGTTCAGTGCCTGTAGCACAGTGGTTACGGCACTGGCCACATGCAGCGGGGCTGGTGGGTTTGAACCCAGCCTGGGCCAGCTAAACAGCAATGACAACTGCAACAAAAAAATGAAAAATAAATAAATAGCCAGGCATTGTGGTGGGCGCCTGTGGTCCCAGCTACTTGGGAGGCTGAGGCAAGAAAATCACTTAAGGTCGAGAGTTTGAGATTTCTATGAACTGTAACACCACAGCATTCTATGGAGAGTGACATAGTGAGACTCTGTCTCAAAAAAAAAAAAAGGAAAAGGAAAAATGGCTGCCTTTCCTATATAAAACTGACAGTTCTCACATATTTTTTCCCCAGTTGCAGGAATGAGTTTACACTGAGGCATTCATGTGCTCTGGTTCACTCTCCCCTTTTAAAAAAGGAACCCATGTTTATTTTTCAGCTAGCCCAGGTTAAAGGTTTGGTAGGTGGAATGCCTGCTGAACATGAAACTTAACTGACTCACAGAGTATCAAATTCTTAACCTTGGCACTCTTTGATTTTCTTGAGACCACGTGTGCCCTAGTAGTGGGGCTAAAGCTTAAGGATAATTTTAGCCTGCAAATTTGCAGTTGTAAGTTCTTATTGCTAGCTGCTCTTTTTTTCTGGACAGCACTTGACTGTCAATGAATGTTTTCTTATGCAGGTTGCTATTGCTGGGGCCCCAGTCACTCTGTGGATCTTTTATGATACAGGATACACGGAACGTTATATGGGTCACCCTGACCAGAATGAACAAGGATATTACTTAGGATCTGTGGCCATGCAGGCAGAAAAGTTCCCTTCTGAGTAAGTTCAAGCTTTAATATTAAGATTATAAATTTTAAACTGTATTTTTTTTCTTTTTTTATTATTAAATCATAGTTGTGTACATTTATGCAATCATTGGGTACAGTGTGCTGGTTTTATATGCAATTTGAAATACTTTCACCAAACTGGTTAACATAGCCTTCATGCATTTTCTTAGTTATTGTGTTTTAAATTGTATTTTTAAAAATTGTCTTTAGTCATAATGAAAATTCAAATACTAAAAGATTAAGACTATGTTTTATAGAATGCTAGAATGGCATGGCTATTTCTTGAAGTTGAATTACAGGCCAATTCATACAATTTGGGTTTTTTACAAGTTGTAGTTAAAGCAGTTGCTTATGCTGAAAGAAGTGCATGACTGTTTTAAGGTGGAATAAATCGTATGTCTGTTTAAATATATTTCACAAATAGGGACATGCTGTAATTATTGATGTGTTCTAATATTTTAATAAACACATGATCCTTTAAATTTTTTGTTACATTTGGCATCTGGTTACTATATTGCAAATTTAAATATTGAAAATATTATATATTCTAACATTACAGTATAATGGAGTTAATATAGTTTCGTGTGATTATTTTAAAGGAGTTATTTGGTTCCCCAGGTACTCTGCTATTTTGCCTCATCCCCTGATATTTGCAATTTTTCAGACCAAATCGTTTACTTCTCTTACATGGATTCTTGGATGAGAATGTCCATTTTGCACATACCAGTATATTACTGAGTTTTTTAGTGAGGGCTGGAAAGCCATATGATTTACAGGTGAGTTATTCTACTTCTAATTAAATGCAGTTATTGATTATTTGGACATCTAATAACTATGGAGTAAGGCCATATTCTCAACTGTTGACTACCCTATGCTTAAGAGAACTAAATTAATAGAGTTACTAGTGCCTAGACTTGGATAAAAATTGAGATTCTGTTAAAGTCAGGCTGATAACTAACTTGTGTATCTGTACCTACTTTTAGTTTGCAAGCATTGAAAAGATGACAGGGAATCCATTCCGTATTCTCCTTTGCTTTTTACCCCTTTGAAGAGTGAGGAAATACTACCTGATTTCATTGTTATAAAGGAATTTTTAGGACCTGCTTACGTGGATTTTAAAATTTCTTATTTTACATTGACATGGGAGCAAAGACCAGCAAATTGCCCTCCTCCATTGCTCCATTACTCAAAAAATGGTTCTAAGAGAAACTGTTCTTCCATTTTACTCCTTAAACAGATTACATGCTCACAAGAAATGAAAAATAGTGCTTTTTTCTTTTTTATATTTCAATTAAAACTATGAGATATTTGTCTCTTGCAGCAATTTTCTAGTTTTTTGGTCTGAAAGAGCTTTCTTTATGTGTGTTGTATCTATTTCTCATACAAGATCTTAAAATTGAGAAAATGTTTAAATATTTATTTAAAAATATAAATTATTACCTTATTTTTAAAGTGGCAGGATAGAGTTTATTGACAGGGAGAAAGATTAATAAGCATGGTAAGCAAAAGAGGGAAAATAGAAGAGGGACAATAGAACCTGTGCAATGGAGGGGGTGTGCAACTAGAAAGTGGCAAGCTATTACATTTTTATGGGGAAAAATACTATACAGTAGAACCTCCATTGTGAGGTTCTGTGGGACCATCTCCCTCCATTGACCACCTCCTTAAGCTGACCACAGACTGGACATGTACTGCATATTTCTGTCAGTATAGTAGGCCTAGTGGGTAGTCAACTTACAGAGATTCTGCTGTATTCCAAAATAAAAAAATATATAATTTACTGAGAAAAAACAGCATTATTTTTTATTTTTGCAAATTTGTTTAATGTCTGACTTAATAAAGAAAACACTTGAATTTTTATCTCCTTCTACATTCAATCTGTTGGGATATATTATCAAAATTAGCCAAAGCTAAAGTACATGAAGATGAATTCAGCCTCACAGAGTAGGCTGTAAGAAGGAACTAAGAAGTAGGGGTATTTTAGCCTTTTAAGATAATTGTGGCTGTTCTTTGATACTATACCAAAAATGAACAAGTGTTATTTTCTTAAAAGGTGAGGTTTTGTGAAGATTTTTCTTTTTTAATTGTGTGTGTGTGTGTGTTTTGAGACAGTCTTACTTTGTCACCCTGGGTAGAGTGCCATGGTGTCATAGCTCATAGCAATCTCAAACTCTTGGGCTCAAGCTATGCTCTTGCCACATCCTTCCAAGTAGCTGGGACTATGGGTAACTGACACAATGCCCAGCTATTTTTAGGGACAAGGTCTCTCTTGCTCCGGCTGGTCTGCAACTCCTGAGCTCAAGCAATCCATCCACATCAGCCTCCCAGAGTGTTGGGATTATAGGCGAGTATGGTGGCACCCAGCTGTGTGTGTCTTTTTAAAGGCACAGTCTTGCTATGTTGCCCAGGCTGGGCTTGAACTCCTAAGCTCAGACCATTCTGCCACTTCACCCTCCTGAGTAGCTGGAACTACAGGTGTGCACCCTTGTACCTGGTTTAAAGCTTGGTTTTAGTGTGGAATCTGAAGCCATATCTATAAACTTTCATATGCTATCACATTTAAATCTATTGAATCTGGTATTTCATATGGATCTTTTTTATCCATGCATTGGTTGGTTCATTGTGTTATACGAGTCTTTCAAATGTTGATTCATTTTATTATACAATTTTTAAAAAATCACATATAATAATGTTACCACTGATTTCACCAGAAAAGTGTCTTAAGTGTTGGGGCATTCATGAGCTAGTAATGGTAGAGGCAAGTTTTCCAAAATTTTAATTTCCACTCAAAAGCTCAACTTCTGTCACTGGCAACAAATACTGTCAGTGTTGTCCTTGAAATGACCAACTCACTTCAATTCATTTTTGAGAAAATACTTACCGGATATTCAAGCCTAAATAACCATTGTTGTCAGTCATTCTTTGAAGTTAAAAGTGGAATTCCATTTAACAAGTATCAGTTGAACTTAAAACTGGGTTGCACAAGTACTTTTCCTTGAGACTTCTGTAGCACAAACGCTTTATGCATACTTCTCATTTCATTAACACAGAATATTAAAAAGACTTTTACTCAGGGGTTGCAATTTAGTAAGATTCTAATTTTTTCTGCTACTTTAGTGAAACTGACATTTTTCTTCAGCAAATGTGTGGTGTTGACAAACACTGTGACGTGTAGTACATTTTAATGACTGCCTTGATTAATGCTGAGGCACCAGCAGTCTTACTCATCATTGCTTTTGCATCATTAGTGCAGATCCCAACACAGTGAATAGAGACAGATATGTCTTAGTATTGTTTTGAAAGCAGTTTTGACCTGGGTGTCCCTTGAAAGGGTCTCTAAAGATCTCTCAAAGTCTGCAGACACACTTAAGGAATGAACTGTTGGCCTACAGATAAGTCTTTCATTAAGACTGTATATATAAGAAATTACAAGGAGAGAAAAGGAGTCTTTAGATAGAATGTATTATATAATATCTTTGTGGAGGTGGTTCTTCATATTATTAGTCCTGATAAAAATCTCTGGAAAACTGTAAAAAAAGATACTACATTACTACATTCTTATTTTTGTGTATTTTTTGTTGTTGTTGTTGTTAAGATCTATCCTCAGGAGAGACACAGCATAAGAGTTCCTGAATCTGGAGAGCATTATGAACTGCATCTTTTGCACTATCTTCAGGAAAACCTTGGATCGCGTATTGCTGCTCTGAAAGTGATATAATTGCGACCTGTGTAGAACTGTGGTATACACTGGCTGTTTAACCAAATGAGGAGGTTTAATCAGTAGAAAACATTTTGGTACCTGCCAAACATCTCCTGAAAGTAAATTTGGTGCCATACAGGCATCTACAATTTATGGATCACAATCTAATACCTTAACCATACATACACAAAATTGAATGATAAATATTTCTAAAGGACCCAGAAATACCATGAGAATTACTGAAAAAAATTAGACATTTGCACCATGTATCCAAAATACCCTGTTTTCACTTTTAATAGCATTATAAACCTCATGGATTTTATTAGTGTATTTTTACAGTATTACTCTGAGTTTGTTAAAATATGATGATATTAGTGATTGGTTTGGTTCAATTCCAGAATCTCTGACTAGTTTCAGATTTGATAGCACTTAAATGTAATTGAATAGCTTATGCTTTATTGCTTGGGGTGTATCCAGCATGTTATGAACTAATCACTATTAAACCTAACTTAACCAGTCATTAATGATTTTTCAAGGATAACTTAGTGGCCTCCTAAAGACACTTGTTTTGGCTCTGACCGTTTTTAGCCAATTTAAACTGTATTTAGTATAAATAATTCTCATTTTCTTTTGATGATATGACAGAGTGGGTTTTTCCTTATGCATAAAGGCAAGTAACTGTATATGTAGCATGAATTTAATTAGTCTTATGATATTGATAATTACAGGCAGAAAATTTTGATTAGAGCTTAAATATTTGCAGGCAAGTTTCTTTTTTTCCTTTAGGAAAAAGAAAAAGTACACATTCACTTGTATTCTTCAGAAAGTTTTAGAGGTGCCAGTTTTCATTTTATATTTCCTTATTAAAATGTTCTGGAGTTTTAGGGAGGTTGAAGTCCCAGAATCTCAGTGGGGCTGGGGAGACCAGGGTGTGGGGAATGACAGGGAGAGGAGGTGGTAGGGTCTGCTTAAGAATTAAGCAGAAGTAGTTAAGTAGTTTTAATAGAAATACTCATGAAAATGCTTGGGAAATGAAATTTAAACTCATAAAATGTCAAGAAAACCAGAATTAAGTAATAGCTCTCTTGCCATCACAGTTGCAGACTAACATTATTCAGGGGAGGAAAAGTTCATTAGAGTTACTTTTATAATTTTAATTTTTTTGTTATTTTTATTTTACTTTTAGAAACCTTGGAAATTTAAGCTTACCCTTTTTAAATTATTTTAAGCTGTGAGCTTAAAATAAAAAGGTTTATAGACAACCTCTTTGTCATAAGCTAATCCCCAGCAAGATATGGCTCTCTTTTTCAGTGGTTAAAACCTATAAACAGTTTTCTTGAGTGACCACAACATTTTCTTGGGTAAGTCTAGCATTTGGCTATGAAAAGAGTTCACAGGCTTTCAGGTGCCTTTGGGAATTGCATTGGCCAGGAGTCTTGATGCTGGATGGGTCACATTGGCACCATTGGCAGGGACGGCATCTGTGAGTTTGACCCTTTTTATCCCAAGTTTCAGTGTTGAGAAAGTTGTTGTTACCAATACTCTTAAACAACACTCCAAGAAGAACTGCTCTCTTTCTTTGTCATCACTACAGAGAGAGTGGATTTCTCCAATAGAGAGCACGGCCTCTGTTAGTAAGGATAATGACTATGCATGAGAGGTGTATTTCATTACTTAGGGCCAGGTGGGAGGTGGGAAAACCCCAGAAATGGCAGGGTGACCTAGTGGTTCTGTCCTTGGGAAGGAGATTAGGTTTTTGCTGTGTGTATTTATACTGTATAATAGATACCACAGTTTTTCTTACTGTCTGTGTATGTATTGATTTCCATGTTTATATTCTCCCATGCCAAGATTTGTTTATATTTTCCTTGTTAAATTAAATTGATTTGGGTAACTTTTCTTCCCCAAGAAAGTATTTTCCCCCTTGACTTAAGTATATATCTGACTGTTGAGCGTTTTGTGAGGGTTGGGGGGAGGACTAATTGGCCTCAAAGAATCTGTCCTTATATGTGAAGTAGAAATGGTAGCTTTCAGACAGCTACTCATTTGAAATCTTTTACTCATTAAGGCTGTTTCTTCAAAATGGCATCTCTTATTTTACCAAAACAAACTTAGAAAAACCTCATGTACTCTTGAACTCAGAAGTGTTTTCCTTTTGCATCTTGCCACCTTTCCTCCTATCACAAAGGGTGCTGCCTTTATCACTCCCAGTCACTTAACTGCTGTTCTACTTCTTTAGGGGGGGAAATACCTGACTAAATTGCAGAAGATGGCTTGACTGAATTTTGTTTTTGCTGCCAGTGTGGAACATTATCCCAGTTAATTGAGGCAGTTACTAACTAAAGCTGTTTGTACCCTGGCTATGGGTTAGACAAAAAAAAAAAAAAAAAAGGCAAGAATATATAAAAGAAGCAAAGTTTGGTGAGAGCCAAAAAGCACTAAGTGCAACAACATAGGTTTTTGCAGGCTTGATAAATGGGTATACTTGAATAACCATCAAGAGGCATATTATCATTACTTGAGCATTGTAGAACAGTGGAACTCAGAATCTGAAATTCATCTGGGATACTCACTAAAGGAAGTAGAAAGTCTTGAATCTCACTCTTAGAAATTTAGATTCCATTGATTTGAGTGGAGACCAGGAATTTGCATTTCTAACAAGCCTTCTAGGTGATTCTAAAATGAGTTATCTGTGGATGACTTTAAGAAACTCTTCTATGTGAGACTCTGGCTCTTAAAAAAAGAAAAATAAAAAAACTCTTCTATAGAGACTGTAGTTGGATTAGTGAATTAATAAGTGAATTTTATACTGGACTATAAGAAGAACCCAAAACAATAACTATTAGCCCCTTCTCACTCTAAAAGCAGCAGAAGATATTGTTTGTGTCCTCTTTGTCTGGAAGATTCATTTTGGAATGAAGGTTTTTCCCTCTATGCCATTTCTGGGTCTTTCCCAAAGTTTCACACAAGAGGATGAAGTCACAATGCATGTGTTACCTTTTTTTATTAAAGAGACAGGGTCTCTGTCACCAAGGCTAGAATGCAGTGGCACAGTCGTAGCTCACTGCAGCATCAAACTTCTGGGCTCAAGTGATTGTCCTGCCTCAGCCTTCCAAGTAGCTAGGACTACAAGCATGCACCACACTCCAGCTAATTTTTTAATTTTTTGTAGAAACTGAATTTTGCTATGTTGCCCAGGCTGGTTTTGAACTCCTTCCTGGGCTCAAGTGATCCTCCTGCCTTGGCCTCCCTAAGTGCTGGGATTACAGGTGTGAACTACCACACCTGACCTGCATTACCTTTTAAAAGAATGAGATACACATATTGATGCTTACATTTTTACTACCTTATTTCTTATAGAAGGTATATCCTACCTCTCTATACTATCATTCTCTTTAGGTGGAATGATTCCTATAAGATCTCTCATTAGGGTCATACATTTTTCAAGCTGGAATAACTATTTGACATAATCTAATCTAAGGTTATCATTTGTTAGAAAAGCAACCTGCATACTAGAGACAGGAGGAAATATACCCATGGCCACCCAGTCAGTTAATATTCATGGTACTAGACTCCATTCAGATATCCTGACTCATAGTAGTAAAATGATATATAGAAAAGGTAAATTTTTAAAGAAGTATTTATTAATATATTCCTATTAAACATTTTAAAGGTAACCACATAAATGGTTGGTTTTTCCATTCTAGAGTAAATGCTAAGCATGCTTTTTAATAAAGCAGTACTTCTAATTAGTATATGACATTCTGAAGTTAATTAAAATCTTGCACTAAATGTGTCTTCCTTGATATGGGGCATTTGAGGACTGGGATATAGAGTAGAGTGCTTGCTTAAGCCTGGGAGCCCATCTTACAGCTATTTGATGTATGGAGAGACATGGCCATATCTAAAGTAAAATATGTAAGGTGAGTATTCATTCCCAGCAGATATAACGACATAAGGAAACTTCCTGACTCCCACCTTTGCAACCCTACCAAGCCCTCCATCGTCATCTAGCCTAAATTAGATGTTAGTGCAAGATGCTGAGCTGTAAGTAATCATTTCACAAGTCCTTCACAGAGAAAGAAAAAGTAGTATGTGTATATTTGTTTTTAAATAATCCAAATACAAACTTATGTTGTATTCAACAAAATTGGGATTCAGGTCTTTAATTTTAGAACATAAAGTGCCTGCTATTTTAAGCATTGACTTGTATAAAAAGAATTGCATGTCTCACTCCAGTAAGTTTATTGGTCTTCTCATTTTTGGCTACATGGCTTTTAATCATGTAAAGTGAAACATTAGTTTTGTTGCATTTTATTACAGGTTCTTTGTTGCAATAAAGCTGCTGCTGAAATTAATTGATTTAAATGTTCCTTCCCCCTCCCCCATAGACAACCTTGCTGTGATTAGTGGCAACTGTGGAGTGATTAATACCCATGAACAAGGTTTTTTGCTTGCAGTGGAGAAAGGAGAGTGCAAGGTGAAGGATTACATGGATTCTCAGTATAAATGCTGACCAAAATGCATCCAAACCCAAGAAGAGGTATACAGAAAACTGCTTTGTAGTTATAAGTGGTTCCAACAACCAATGGTTGATACTGAAGGGCAGATGGTGCTTAGAGCCAGTGATTAGTATATCTCCCCCCATATCCCAGCAGCTAGGGGTTTGTGGGAATGCTACTTTTGAGTTGATAATTAGTTTTCTGTATGCTACCCAGGAAGTCTGGGGGAAGTTTAGTTAATAACTTCTCCCCAAGATTTTTTTTTTTTAACAATCTTCTGAGTTTTTGAAGCTATATTAGAGAAGGGAGGCAGGGAAGCAGATGAACCCCTCAAAAATAAATAAATCTGAGTTTTGTGTGATAATCCTTCCAGAACAGACTTAATCTGGATTCTGTAACCCTTTGAAGTTATGTGTAAAATAGTGCATGAACAAGTAATGGTGCATTATTCTGAAGATACACTCTTTAGTGTCATCAGATTATCTAAGGGATAATGATCCAAAAAAGGATGCAAAAAGAATGGAAAGATAGCCATGCTTATGGACTGGAAGAATCAATGTTAAAATATCCATCCATGGTACCCAAAGCAATCTACAGATTCAATGCAATCCCCATCAAAATATCAACAATAGAGTTGGCTTGGTGCCCGTAGCACAGTGGTTATGGTGCCAGCCACATACACCAAAGGTGGTGGGTTTGAACCCGGCCAGGGCCAGCTAAACAACAACAAAAAAAAGCTAGGCCTTGCAACAACAATAAAAAAAAAAAA